TATATATATATATATATATATATATTTATTTATTTATATAATTATAAAACTTTATTACTTTATTTTATATATATATATATATATCCAATGAATCCGATTTGATTCGGCCGTGGTCAGTAGAATATTTCCCAAAAATTAAATAGAATATAATAGACTGCATCTAATAAATTACGCATGAAAAATTTATGCCACTTTTCTTGCACCCTCCTGACTCCACGCAAATATGAGTCACGATGCATGACCTTCACGGCTTCACCCTCTCTCCTCAGGTTTTGACTATTTCCATTTTTGCCCTTTAATTTTCTTTTTCTTTCGTTTCCTTCCCGTTCTTCTGTTTGATGCACATCAGTCCAGATATAACTATATACCGCGAAGGTTAAAATGTAAATTGAATCGGAATTTACCTATTCGGTACTTTTCCAGTTTTCCATTTTGTGTTTTCTAATTATTTTCTCGATTTTTTTTTTCTAGTTGGAGGGTTTCTTGGGTGCGGAACATTAATAATTCATAAATAGGCTTCCGAAATAAGCAAACCCTATTTAATATAGGGTTCAAGTACTCGAAAGATTCCACGAACGTGTTCAATATTATATCATCATATATATGTATAGGTATAATCTCTATATATTTTTTAAATTTTCTCTTCCCCCAATTTGATGAAAGATTTGTAAAATCTTTGACTAAAAACGGGTGAAGTATAAGGGGGGAAAAAACAAGAACGTGTGTGGCTTCAAATATGATTACGAGTAGGAGCGCACATATGTGTTTAGCTCGTTTATTTTTAATTTTTTGAAAAATTTATTAATTTATTTTTTATATATTTTTCCTGTATCATACAAAATCCTAAATAAAAATTGTTATGGATATTGTATAAGTGAAAAAAAAATCAAAGAACTCGTGTCCAATACAATATATTTGTATTCTTTTTTTTCATAGGCCAATATATATATATAAATATATATTGTAACAGGTAAGTGGAGATATTAAATTCGGTCATGACCAAGCATCTAATTATGAATGACGTACGACTAAAACCTAATTAAGGGGGTGCATTAGCGCTTAAAATAACAAAAATGCGTTTTATTAAACCGTATTCGTGCGCTCTCATCTTAGAAATTTAAATTAAAATACTGACATAAATATGCTAATTGTTATGGGTATGTAATATTGTAAATTTTAAATCCGAGTTTAGATAGTCCATGTATATACATACACATGTATAATCAAATACGATTCAAGCCCAAATAACTTTCGAAAAGATTAATAAATTTAAGAGAAAATCGCCAAAAAAAACTCTATACTCTCTATATGTCGACAAAAAAATCATGTATTTTTTTTTATTACAAAAAAATTCTGTACTTATATTTATTCGCCGAAATATACCTGTAATCTTCAAATGTGAGACAAAAAAAACTATAATCTTCAAATGTGAGACAAATACTATACTTATACTTATTGACCTAAATGCTATCACATAAACCTTTAAACATTTGCGTTTTGGGGTTTATTTGATAGAATTTATAAAATATAAATATATTTCAACGAATAAGTATAAGTATAGGGTTTGTTTGGTAATAAAAAAAGTATAGAATTTTTTTGTCTGGTATCTGAAAAGTACGTGTATATTTCGACGAATAAGTATAACTATAGAGTTTTTTGGTAATAAAAAAATACAAGGTTTTTTGTCGACATATGAAGAGTACAAAGTTTTTTTGGTGATTTTTTCTAAATTTAAATATTAAGTTTAACACTTTTTTTTTGGTCTGGAATCTAAATTTTCGTGAAGTTCTTGTACAATAATATACAAGAACTCTAGATCCGTTTGTTCTTTGAATTGAATATATAATATATACATCGTGGACTGACCTGGATTATTTTGGTGCAATCATAAACAAATGCCTAATCGTCGATCGATGAAAATAAATTAATAACAAAATAACGATGGCGCACAAACATTAAAGCCTTTAATTTTGTTTAACTGGCTAATTAATAATGCGAGCGGACCAATCTAGATCCTTCTTCCAACAACAAGCCAACAATATAAAACGATTTTATCAATTAAAATAATTAATTAATGTGTTGTTTTATTATTCCTAAAGAGTTAGTTTCCGATGACCAGATCCTAATTAGCTCTAACTGGTCGCTTTAGTCAGCATTAAACCTTTTCCTTCTGATTTTAACTTATTTCTACGTAATAATAATAATAATAACAATTTAATATGTACGTTATACCTTTTCATTACTAGTTGTTAAATAATTATAAATATTTGGGAAATGGCTCATAAGATGATATAGTTCACGAACCGTGACTATCGGTGCACGTTATTTTTTGCGGACATGAATATGGTCGGAAAGCCGCCATTCAATGGGTTTTGCGTAGCTTCTTGCATAAAATTCACATGATTATTATAATTCGTCCATTTTTTTTTAGAATATGATCCGAATATTATTATGATAGCGCACATGGCACGTTGGTAACTAACTTTTTAGTTATAAAACCAAAAATATCAACACTCGCCGCAGAAATTGAGAAGAGAAAGCGAGATGTACACGTACACAACACAAGAAACGTATACACACATGCCATGTACGTACGTACATGTATATGTACGCGTATAGAATGACAGAAATGCCCCCATCCGCCGTTCATATGAATAATAATTAAGAACCAGAGAGAAATAAGATGTATATGTATATATATATATATATATATAGTTTGATGACAAGTAGACAACTATGGCAATATGTAAAAACAGAGTGTATGTAGACGAAAAGGAGAGAGAGACAAATGTATAGAGAAACAGAACAAAACACCACTTGTGTGTAAACCCAATCTCGAAGCATGTTTTCATTAGTTCGCCCTCTTTTGTCTTTATCTTCGACTCATCCCCCCACATATATCGTATCCACATCTTACATATCCTCTCTTTTTTAAATGAACAAATAAATAGTATGAAATTCAACATTTTTATTCAGTAAATTTTGCACCGACTTCGACGGCCAAACGAAAAAAAATACATATATTATTGGACCAACCTTTTTTTTTTTCTGTGAAGGTAAAGTTTAAAAGGTGTGACCGGTTAAAACATCGGTTGCCTTTACATAAATAGCCGTTGGTACCCAATGTTTCAATGTTTATGGCAATAGTTAAAAATTTTAAGGTAACAAGTTGTTCTTGAAGAAGTTCGAATCGAAAAATTAGATACCGTTTTCGAAGTGAATCATTTGAAATTTTTAAACAGTTTTTTAGAGAATTGAATTTTTTGAAATTGAATTGAACCAAACCTTAAAAATCCAGATTTTTTTAAAGAATTTTATTTTTATTTTTAAAATTTTGTTTTTAAAATATAATTTTTTCATTCATTTATTTATTTTTTGATAATATAATATTTTTTTATGAGATTGTATTTTTTTATAACGTTGCACTGATATGACGATAATATATATTTTTCAATCAACCACGTTTATCGTTTTAAATTGAAAACTATTGTCAGATTTTTGAATATATAAAAATTTACGATAATGTTGCAGTTTAAAATATTTTTTAAGAGTTAATAATTTTTTAGATATTTTTTAATAAATTGAAGTATTTATTTGAAATTTTTTTTACGAAAATACGAAGTAAATAGAGAGAATCCATCCTTTTATTCACGAAATTTACATGCGTAAATTACAGCCGTTGGATGATTTCTCGTAATTGACAAGCTCCATCGAGAAGGCAGATCCAACGGCAGATACGAAGAAAGATATTACCAAATCTCCATGACAACAACTAGTTACTTTTTCTTTTGTCTCTCTCGAAAAAAAAAAGAAAAAAAAAAGAAAAAAAGGAGCATCTCTCATCCTCATTTATCTTCTTTTAAAAAAGATTTTTTTAATCAAAATATTAGGTTAAAGCATTTTTCTTGGCTAAAATATTTCAAGTTAAGATATTTTTAGGAACGCATGAACCCATTTTATTTTGTCACTGTTAGGTCATAAATTTATGAAATTCTACCTTTTGGAATAATTAATTCATATTGCTAAAGAAATTGGAAGAGTGTTATGTATTAAAGAAATTATCATACTTTTTCTAAAAGATTTATATCTGTGCGCGGTATCCGTGTGCGTATTGTTTAAGGATTACATGAATTTATATCTGGAAATTACTTTTTTATAATGGAGATATGAATCGATTTATAAGTTAAAGGAATATTAAATTCTCGGACCAATATTTAGATCTTTTTTCCGAGTTATGCGGAAAACATCACGTTTCTCTCTACGTATCTCTGACATGCACGGACCAATTAAATTACTTTTTTAAATATTTGTCGACACTAATCTCGTAATTTATTTATTTTTCATTAAAAAAATCCATTTTGACCAGACCCTCTCTCTATATAACCCTCTCGGACGCCCCATCTCTCTCCTCATCCTCTCATCTTTCTCTCTCTAACAATTTGAAAAGCTTAAACCCTCCTCTATTATCTCTTTCTGTCTCTCTTCTTCAAAAAAATGGCGGAAACAACAACAGCGTCGCCATTGAAGCGTCACAGAGAAGAAGATGAAAAAGAAACCATAGTTACAGAAGAAACAAAACGACAGAAACCCTCTTCTTCTTCTTCTTCCTGCTCTTCTTCGTCATCTTCCTCGTATGATCAGATCCTTTGTCTTCTCGAAGACTCAGAGGAACGAGACGAACCCGACAGTGATTTGACCTCTCTCATCACCACCCTCCAGCAAGAAATCTATCCCGACGAGGAAAACGCCGTCGTTTTTGAATCCGTTAACGTCGAAGAGAAGCCCGCGCTCTCTTCTTGTTCTTCCTCGTCGTTTTCCTCGTCTTCATGCACGTCGAAGGAAGACGACGACGAGGGTAACAAGGATAACGTCATGAGACACCTTCTAGAAGCTTCTGACGACGAGCTTGGGATTCCTAGCACAGATTTTGGCGGGAGTAGTTGCGGAACGACTAATAACGATACTAATCAAGATTGCGTTACCGGTGGAAATTTATTAGATGGGTTTAGCGATGCGTTGTGGGAGCTTGAAGACGAAGCTGCTAATTATTACACGTTGCTGCAGTCTGAACTCTTCATGTAGAAAACCCTAAGGGTATATTAGGGAGACGAAGAAAATCGCTAATATGATATATTTAAAACGAAAAAGATGGGTTTTTTTTTTAATGGAAAATTTTCATTTTTAGCGACCCTTCTTTTTCGGTATGCAAATTAAATACAAATGTCCTCTTTTTTATTCATCTTAGTGTTATAGCAAATACTATTTGGTTTATTGATTTGTAGTGGAGCCGAAAGATAATGATATGTTATTTTTTTTGCCATAGAGTTATTTCGTTTATTATGTGACATCAAGTTGGTCGCAAAAGACGAGTTTACCCTTTTCTTTGAGAAACTAGCCCAATGAAACATATCTGTGTGGGGTAATGAAACATGATTTTTGTTTTTGTTAAAGCTTATAATTTTCATTTTGTTTCCTTGTTATAATTATTATTATTAGGTTTTCCCCAACTAAAGGTAGGCGCATATTCAAAATTTTATTTTCTAAAATCCAAATATTTTATTCAAGTCGGAAGATGAACTATCTATGCAATTATATAATAATTAAAACGTTACATGATATTCCAGGTTTAAATTATCCCACAGCAAACCAACGAATTGATGTACTTCAAGTGACAAATTTGTTTGTGTAGGATGGAAACACATTAGTGCGAAAAATAACTGTGACATAGAAAATAATATACAATTAAATTAAACCTCTTATCTAAGGTTCTTATTAATGCTTTAACTTGAAGACGCTGGGAGACTTGAACCAACTATTTAGCTATTTTTTTCCTATGTTTTTAGATACCTTATTTAGTTAATAATAATCGAATAAAAGTATAGGTATGAATCGAAATGACATATACTCGTAATCGAATTTAATACGATATTTCTTTAAAATTGAATAATCGAATTAAAAATAATAAAAAAATGATTTTGTTTATCTTAATATATTTATTAATAAAAAATCGAAAATAAACGGATTGAAACGAAACAAAATCTTTAAATCAATATTATTATTTTTTTAAATAATTGAACCAACGGAATAAGCCACCCAAATATTTTTTTTCCAATCAATAAAAAAAAAAAGATAAATAACCGAACGAGGAGAACACGCTAAGTTGCGCCGGAGAGTGCGCAATGTGCACCCTTAGTGGCATTGTGTCTACCACCCATTGAGGACGAACCACGTGGTAGATCACGTTAGTCTCGTCGCTGCGAATTACTTCCTTTTTGTTCGTATCACTTTGACTCGCCCAAGTAGCGCGTCAATATCACCGCCCAATAAGACGTTTTGGTGCACAGGTCGTGTGGATTGCACAAAATAACACAATTTTATTAAATTTGAGGGACATTATTCAGGAGCCTAAACATTATTCAGAGTTGTCTTTGTGGTTTATTATTGTGGATTCACTTTTTTATTTTGCTGTTCTATAGAAGGGTATTATTGTATTTTTATATATTGTAATTAGGATTAAGTTATTGTATAAATATCACACTTATTGTAATTGAAACAAAATCAAAAAGGTACTTCCGTACATGGTATCAGGAGCCTGCGATTCCAACCCTAGTCTCGTCTTCTCTTGTTGATTCAGCCTCCTCTCGCCACCTGCACTGCTGCACTCTCTCTTTCTCCAGTGCTCTCCTTCTTTCTGTGCATCTTTCCTTGGTTACTCTCTGATCTGTTTGTCTTTTCATCATGTCTTCTACACCGGTTGCCGTCTCTCATGCCACAGATGAAAGCAATGTGATTGAATCTCATTCCTCGGGCAAATCTCTTCTCTACATCAACATGTCCAACATCACCAAACTCACGTCTACCAATTTTCTCACGTGGAGTATCCAAATTCGTGCCTTGCTTGAAGGTTACAACCTTGCAGGATACATTGAGGAAACCATGGATATTCCTCCGGAAACCATCTCGGTCAGTGGTATTACTCAAGCCAACCCGGACTTCTCCCTTTGGAAACAACAGGACCGTCTGTTGTTCAGCTCTCTCCTCGGCTCCATCTCAGTTTCTCTTCAGCCGATTGTCGCTCGCTCCAAGACAACGCTTGACGCTTGGAAGACAATTACCAACACATATGGTAAAGCTTCTCGTGGCCATCTTCTTCAACTCCGGGATCACATTAAAAGAAGTGTTAAGGGATCACAGCCCATGCATGAATATCTTCGATCTATCACAGCCAAAACCGATGAGTTATCTCTCCTTGGAAAACCTAAGGATCATGAGGATGTACTTGAGGCTATTCTCGATGGACTTCCGGAGGAATACAAGCCGATTGTTGATGCTGTCAACGCCCGCGATGTTGCCATCTCTATTGAGGAACTTACTGAGAAACTTCTTAATCAAGAAGCTAAGGTTCTGCTTTCTCAGTCCTTGTCGTCTACCTCTCTGATGCCTATCTCAGCTCATGTTGCTGATTCTCGACCTCGCCATCAGTCCCGTGGTATGTCTCGTCCTCCTTGGCATCGACGTTCAGGACCACAACAACAATCGCGGGGTTATATGGGCCGATGTCAAGCTTGCGGCGTTCAAGGTCACTCCGCCAAGCGTTGTCCGCAGTTTCATATTGTCGCCTCTCATGGATCTTCTGCCGGTATTGTTGGCTCGTCACCTTGGGCTGTGTCGCCACGACCCTCTCCTCAGGCTCACTCCGCTGTGCATTCAGGTTATGATGCTCAGCCGTGGCTTCTTGACAGTGGCGCTTCTCATCACATAACCACGGACCTTCACAATCTTGCTATTCACAGCCCGTATAATGGCGATGATGATGTTGTTGTCGGTGATGGGTCGGGATTGCCCATTACACATTCTGGTTCACTCTCACTGCCTCTTGCTTCATGCTCTCTTCGCCTTAATGATGTGTTGTGTGTTCCTGCTATGAGCAAGAACCTTGTCTCTGTTCACCAGCTATGTCGCACTAATCATGTGTCTGTGGAATTTTTTCCATCGCATTTTCAGGTGAAGGATCTAAGCACGGGGGCGATCGTTCTCACCGGACCAAGTAAGCATGGTGTTTATGAGTGGCCATCGGTTGCGGCGTCGTCTTCTCACGCTCGAGTGTTTTCGTGTGTCAAGTCCACTTTGTCCAAGTGGCACTCTCGTTTGGGTCATCCTGCGTCTCCCATTCTACGTTCTATTGTTTCTACTTTTGGTTTACCTGTGACTCGGGATTCTTCCTCTCATTTTTGTCATTCTTGCAGCAGTAATAAAAGTCATAAGCTATCTTTTTCAGACTCATCTCTTACGTCTACTCGTCCGCTTGAAATTATTTTCTCTGATGTATGGACATCTCCTGTACATTCGATGGATGGTTTCAAGTATTATGTCCTTTTCGTTGATCATTTCACTCGTTACTCCTGGTTGTTTCCACTAAAACAAAAGTCACAGGTTCATGAAACTTTTCTTCAGTTCAAACCCTTGGTTGAGAAGCGTTTTGGCACATCGATCACCACCTTGTTCAGTGATAATGGTGGTGAGTACATTGCCCTTCGCTCCTTTCTTGCTCGTCACGGTATCAGTCATCTCACTACTCCTCCTCATACTCCTGAGCATAATGGTATTTCCGAGCGACGTCATCGTCACATCGTAGAAACGGGACTCTCTCTTCTTATGCATGCGTCTCTCCCAGTGTCTTATTGGTCTTTTGCATTCACTACTGCAGTCTATTTAATTAATCGCATGCCTACTCCTATTCTTCGCATGTCGTCCCCGTTTCAATGTCTTTTCTCATCTCCACCGGATTACACTAAATTACGTGTTTTCGGTTGTCTTTGCTATCCTTGGCTTCGTCCTTACACGTCACACAAACTCGAACCTCGTTCTCGGGCTTGTGTATTTCTTGGGTACTCTCCGACACAGAGTGCGTATCTTTGCTTTGATCCGTGTCAGTCTCGTCTATTTGTCTCTCGTCATGTTCAGTTTCATGAAGATGTGTTTCCCTTCGCTTCTGGGTCAGTATTTTCTCCATGTCCGGCTGCTCCGTCGTCTGAGTCTATCTCGTGTCCAACCCTTCCTGTGCACTCGTTATCTCTGCAACCAAAGCCACTCATTACGCCTGCTCACTCTCCGCCTTCGTGCTCGGATCCTTTGCCGCTGTCTTCAGCTGATGAAGTCTCAGTCGAGCCATTTGATGTGGTACATCCAGTCTTGGCTTCTGCTCCATCTGCTCCGACTAGGAATGTGCACCCGATGCAGACTCGGTTGAAGAGCGGCATCCATAAGCCCAATCAAAAGTATGCTCTTCTGGTTGCTGCTTCCTCGACAGATGTTGAACCGGCGAACATCACTCAGGCCTTGAGGGATCCTCGATGGCGTGCTGCCATGAGTGACGAATATGATGCTCTCATTCGGAACGGTACGTGGTCTCTTGTTCCCACTTCAGAGGCTGTGAATGTTGTTGGTTGTCGCTGGGTTTTCCGGATCAAACGCAAACCCGATGGTTCGGTGGAACGCTTTAAGGCTCGTCTAGTTGCCAAAGGTTTTCATCAACGTCCTGGGATTGATTTTCATGAGACTTTCAGCCCGGTAGTCAAGCCGACTACGATTAGAGTTGTTCTCAGTATTGCCGTGTCTCGTGGCTGGCCGTTGCGTCAACTTGACGTTAACAATGCCTTTCTTCAGGGCCATCTATCGGAGGAAGTTTTTATGACTCAGCCGCCGGGCTTTGTTGATTCGGCTAATCCACAGTTTGTTTGCAAGCTTCAGAAGGCTATCTATGGGCTTAAACAAGCTCCCCGAGCTTGGTACTCGGAGCTTCGATCTTTTCTTCTTGAGCGGGGTTTTCGCAATTCCTTAGCGGATACCTCGTTGTTCATGCTGACTTCATCGACATCTCGACTCTTTGTGCTTGTTTATGTTGATGATCTTGTGATTACAGGAAGCTGTTCTACTGAGGTTCAGACGTTTATTACTGCTCTTGGTGCTCGGTTTTCTCTCAAGGATCTAGGTGATCTTTCATACTTTCTTGGTGTGGAAGCTCTTCGATCTGACAAGGGTCTTTTACTCACTCAGCAGAAATATATCACTGACTTGCTTCACCGTGCCAACATGTCTGATGCGAAGCCTGTCTCGACACCGATGGCCTCGACATCACGACTCACAGCTATCTCCGGCACCTTGATCGACAATGTCACTGAATATCGAGCTTTGGTAGGAGGTTTACAGTATCTCTCTCTCACTCGACCGGATCTTAGTTTTGCTGTGAATAAGCTTTCACAGTTTATGCACTCTCCGACAGATGAACACTGGCAGGCTGTCAAGCGTGTTCTTCGCTACTTGGCTGGTACACGCGATTGTGGTATTTTTTTCTCGGTCAAGAACACACTCACGCTACACGCATACTCGGATGCTGATTGGGCCGGTGATCGCTTGGATTTCAAATCGACCGGGGCCCATGTTGTCTTTCTCGGTGGTCATCCTGTTGCATGGTCGTCGAAGAAGCAACGTGGCGTTGCTCGGTCTTCCACTGAAGCGGAATATCGCTCCGTTGCCACCACTGCTGCTGAGGTTTGTTGGATTTCATCCTTGATTGCTGAGCTTGGATTTGCTGTCTCTGGTCCTCCAGTTGTTTATTGCGATAATATCGGAGCTACCTACCTTAGTGCCAATCCCGTATTTCATTCTCGCATGAAACATATCGCCTTGGATTATTTCTTCGTTCGTGGCCTTGTTGAATCGGGTGATCTTCATGTTACTCATGTTTCTGCTTCCGATCAGCTTGCCGATGCCCTTACTAAGCCTCTACCGCGTCTGTGTTACTCACGTTTCTGCTTCCGATCAGCTTGCCGATGCCCTTACTAAGCCTCTACCGCGTCTTCTGTTTCATGACTGTTTTATCAAGATCGGACTCACCTCCGGTGCTCCGTCTTGAGGGGGCGTATAGAAGGGTATTATTGTATTTTTATATATTGTAATTAGGGTTAAGTTATTGTATAAATATCACACTTATTGTAATTGAAACAAAATCAAAAAGGTACTTCCGTACATGTTCCACTTGAATATTAGAAAGAGAATAATTTCCTGACGTGGCAATATTTTTTTTAATGATCGACGAACGATATATATTTTCCATCACTAGGGAAGAAGAATCGGATACGGAAACAAAATAAAGCAAAAAGGAAGAGAATCGTACCACAATTTGATTGACACAAATTGAAAATGCCGTGGAATTTTTTCTTTATTTGCTCACATTTGATAGAAAAGGTTTTGAACAAATACGCCTCCACGAATTGTTTTCTTTCATGTCAATTTACCCATTGAAGATGAGGCTCCGTCGAAATTTGGTATGCATGTGCCTTTCTTTTCTATATATATGTTTCAAGTGTATGTACGTATATTATTATTATTATTATTATTATTATTATTATTATTATTATGTGTTATAGAAAATTATGCTAAAGAATTTTATCAAAAAAAAAAAAAAATTATGCTAAAGAAAGAGGAAATAAAAAATGAACTTTTTAAATTTGGTTATTAAATATATAAATTTTTAATTTTATATAAAAATACATAAATTTTGAAGTTTTTTTGTTGTTGCAGAAATCCATATAAATTTGTATAAAAATATATTCATATATATCCACATAAAAAAAAACAACTGAAGTTCATGTATTTATTTACCAAATTTAAAAAATTCATGTTTTGTGACGATATTCCAAGAAAATAATAAGTATTTGTGTTTGAATTTTCAAAGGTTTGGCCCAAAATACAGGCAACAAGGGGTATACCGTTTAAAATGATATAAAGATCAAAATTATTCTGCGGGAAATTATAAAATAATGATGTTTTAACTAATTAACAAAATTATTTTCGTTTCAAGTGATTTAATAGCCAAAATGACAAGCCCATGCGTTGGACTGTGATGATGGGAAGGGACATTCTACCACACATGCATGTGAATGGTTGTGGGATCATCATGATACGCCAATAATATTATATATGAACCGATCAAGAACACACACACACACGGATATATATATATA